GTGATATGAAGTGTATGGGGGTGGGAATTTGTGGGCACATTTCAGTTGTACTGCAATGAGTTTTAGAGACTTAATCAGCTGCCATTGACAATCAGCATCTAACCTGCAAAGAAGTTTTCAAAATGTTGTTTCTTTCTTTTTAAATATCAACTAAGGAGAACAGGAAAGAAATGAAAGAAATCACTCAAATGGCAAAAATGCGTAGGATAGATCATGAATATAATGTGCAGTTGCATGAGGCTGTTCCTGTTTTGCAGGCAAAAGTGCTCTAAAAACTGGGAGAAAGAATATCTTCTTACATAGACAGGAGAAGTTTGTACATTCAAACCTCAGTTTTCAAACGTCTCAGCTGCCGAATGATTGGGAAGCCAAACGCCAGAAACCCAGAAGTGAATACTTCTGTTTTTGAATGCACCTTGGAAGTCAAACGGCTTCCGAGACGCGTTTTTCATTTTTCTTCCATTGAACTTGCTGACAGCCCTTTGATCCTTGGTTTTTGAACATTTTGGAGGTCGAATGGACTTCTGGAACGGATTACGTTCAAAAACTGAGGTTCCACTGTACAGGGCTCTGAATGTGAAGGAAAATATGAATTGTGAAGGTTCTGTCCGGTTGGTTTTTTTTAAAATGTGGAAATGACTTCAGCATTTGGTGTCTCCAGTAAGACACAGGAGAGGCAGCAAGTGGTTGGCCAGGAGTGGGTGGAAGGAAGGAATTTCGCAGTGCTAATGGTTTCCATTGGATTCTCCCCTCCTGTTCATGCCCACCATGGGATTGCTGTTGTGTCTCCAGCTCCTTTTTTAAAACAAATAATTAAACCATCAGGACAGCCTTTAAAGGTCCTTTTGTCATGTTTTTTTCTCTCCCTAGGAGACCAAGCAAGCCCCCAGGCACCTTACCTGAGCCAATTAGAACCACAAATTCTTAATGAGATGCTCTTCCAAATCTGCAAACCTCATGAATACTCCCCTAGTTAGATTGCAGCTCTCTCTCTCTCTCTCTCTCATATCTTTTTATTTCATTTTTTGAGCACAAGGTAGATGACAGAACCACAGCTTTTCTTTGTACAGGACAATTCAGTAGCACCTCTTTTCTCCTTTGCTAAGGTTGGTTGTGAGACAAAGGGCCTCTTGAGAACTTTTTTTAATTTACATTGAGGGTGGGTTGGAAGAAGAGAAAATTCTGGAGGGTTCTGTTGAAATGCATGAACAATCCTATATGACTAAGATCGCTTACAGCCCTGTTGACTCTGTATTGTATTCAGCTAAGTTCTACTCTGAGTAAACCCAATGAAATTAATATTGTCTGCATCTGTCTGTCTCTGGAGACAATGGAGTGCACTTTCAGGGGTGAAGTCAAACTGCTGTGTTACCAGCACCAAAGTGACCTCCCCAGAGTGCAAGACTGGGCAGTGTGTGTGGAGGTCCTGGGCTGACCACACAACAAGACCCCCACTCTTGGCTTCACTGATGTGGTCCAAAGGAAAGCAGAGCAATATGTTTGGGTTGGCTATAGGAGTTGCCAGGAGACGACGTACAAGATGCCATCCAACCATCTTAGGCACTCCATGCCAGATTTGTGTATGGTTTATTCCTTAGCATTTTCTTCTCCTGGAGATATCTCGCAAGGCAGCAAAGGTTTAGGACCAGAGTTTTCCTTCTCCTAGACTCGGAGTAAACCCATTGAAATTAATGAATCATGTCTATAAACTCAACGGGTCTACTAGCATTGAATGCCATCAACTTGTGCTAGAATTCATGTTTGTTGATCATGAGAGTGGGAGAGAGAATTCTGGTTTTTGTTGAAATGCAAGGTGTTTTTGGAGTGAGGGGAAAGATTTATTAAGCCAGTCTTCTGTTTGTCTCCACCAGTTCTGCATATCCAGAAGTAGACTGCCTCACTTTTGAGACCCAGGGTGTGAATGTGAGGAATTGGTGATCAAGCCAGTGCTTAGGATGTGGTCAAAGGGGTTTTGAAGAACTGAGGTGTGACATCTCTGAGAAGTGGTACTTCAGAGCTTCTCAGGGACTTTTGCAATTTCTTCCCTATCTTCTCAGTTGTACTGGGATTTGCTGGAAGGCCCCAGGCCTCTTACTCAGGGGAGCTATCCCCAGGTATCTAAACCGAGCAGAATCCTGACAAAAATGGCAAAGTTGTGAAGCAGTTTTAGCCCCTACTCTAATGATGACCCTAAGCAGACCCCTCTATTTTCCCATATAACTGAGGGCTGCCATTTTGCAGCTTAATAGATAGGAATAAATTCAAAAGCATGATATCCAAGCATGCTTGGGGTTATAGATAAGAAGCAATGTGTTCTATCATTATTTGACTTCTCAATACCGTTTCCCTCTTTTATCAGGCTAATTGGTTGCCTAATTTGTAGATGTCACAGAACGATTGCAAACTCGAGTACTTCTCGCTGTAGAAAGGATGATTTCTTTATTTGATATAATGAATGGCAGTTTTCTTACAAAAACCTCTCATTCCTTCTCATGTTCTTAATTGCTTATCCATTAATCTCTAGTTTTTGATATCTATAATACTACCAATAGATGGAATATAAGTGGAATTTTCTCTACCCTGCCAATCAGAGCTATACACCTTTCAATCAACAGATAGGATTAGCATTTATAATCATTACTCAATTGCAAGGTAATCCACATTTTTCTCTAACTACCCCGCCTTTTGATTATACCAGAGTTGCACATTCAAAAAGGAACGAGAGGTTGTTTCCCTCACTTGAAGTTATTACCACTGATGGACTATTATAAATATCTTTCACCAGAATGTTATTGCCAACCCCACCCCCAAAAAACCCTTCTAATAGTTATGCTTGTGCTGATTGTATTGGGTCATGCCAATGAGGACTTGTTATACAGGCCGACTATTATTTCTCTATGTAATGCTAATTCTTGTTGCAAGTTTGGTTGCATTGATCACTGTGAATAGCTAACTGAAGAGTGGCTTGGGAAACATTAACAAAAGAGCTTTAATTATTCTTCATTACTGGAGATGTTCATCTGGTAGCTAAGAATGTCTTTACAGCATTTGAAATGCAATACTCCTAAGAGTTGGGGAAGGTGAGATGTCTCAGGACTGTCCCCCACTCTTAGAAGCAGCCTGGCTTCTACTTTCCACAGTGGACAAACCTGTGTTGATACTCCTGAACTGTGGATTGGCCCACAACTCCCAATCTGGTGGCACACTTATTTGGATTTCGCAATGCAGCTTCGGTGCACAAAAGGGGCACACACAAAAACATAACTTTGCATTAAAAGTGCATACAAAATTTAAAATTGGACTTCCCATATCTCCTTTCACAATTGTACACAACATGGCGTGGAATGGACCTGTGGCTGAGTGTAAGCAAAAGTGAAACCTCTCAGTCCATTTCTGAGATTACAGGGCCCAAACCTGAGACATAGGGGCAGCCCCTGGGGATGTCATTAAGCATGATACATGATACAATAACCACAGTTGCTGGGGCCATGTCTTCAAATAAAGAACATGAAGTCTAAGAAGTCAGCAAATACCACCCTGGTTGGAATCAAGACAGAAACCTTAGCTAAAGGGGCGTTCCTAGGTCCAGCTGAAGTATGGGGACCTTCTCACCTGCTTAGGGAGCCTGGGTGGAGATGCGATGTTTTTAGATGGGGACACTCACAGTCAGGAGCCCAGACTGACGCCCCTGAAGGCTGCAATTCTAAACACACTTACCAAGGACTTTCTCTCCCTCAAGCCCTCCTGCAGCCATCTGCCAATCTCTGAAACTTCAAAGCAGCCCTGAAGGTGTGGCAACCCCATGCACTCTCTCAGTATTGGTGGTAACGTGGCTATAGCCAGGTTGCTCCAAGAAACATATGAGCTAAACCAGACCCAAAGAATTTGTGAGCTGCTGTGGAGAATCATAAAACCGTGGACTTGGAAATGACACCCAGGGTTATCTAGTCTAGCCCCCTGCAATGCAGGAATCTCAACTAGATCATTCATGGCAGATGGCCATCCAACCTAGGCTTAGAAACCTACAATGAAGGAGAGTCCACCAACTTCCATCAGGGTCCGTCAAACAGCTGTTACCATCCAGAAAGTTCTTCTTGATGGTGAGTCGGAATTGCCTTTCTTTAGGGAAAAGGTACTTCCAACATTGTGTAAAATCTATAAATAAGTGTGCTGCGTGATATAAAATTGCTACTATCTTAATAACTGTAAGTAGTTAACTGTGAGAGATAAGAAGGCTACGTGTAAATGAAGCCCGATCATGACTTTGTAAATGAGCTTTGGCAGCTTGCTTACTGTCAACAAAACTAAAACTTTCACCAAGGAGACATTTATAGGCCTCGGAAGGTTTACAGTTAGGTTCAGAAGTTTATGTACCAGACATGAGAATAAAAAAAAGGTCAGGTTGTGGTAGGCCAGTCAGAGCATATTCTAATTGGCTCATAAATACAGGCCAATGGACTGGAGCTAACAAGTTATTAAAAGAGGGTTGTGGTTATAGTCTATAAGTCCTGAAGGGGGCCAGGATCACCTCAGGCAGAGAAGAGCCTGAGAGGGGAGGCGACTGCAGCAGAGCGTCTGAAGAAGAGCTGGGATAACTGGGATCTCCTTGTCAAGATATGACGGGAGAGGAAGACTCAGTTCTGCAACAGTTCTGCAAGGAAGCTGGGGAAGTCAAATGCCTGGCAGGCCACCCACAGAACGCCTTTGAAACGGGGTGAAGCACCCAGAGGCAGAGCTATCTGCTCCAGCACCCGGAGCGGCGCACATGCTGTGCACCCGGGGTGAGGCCACGGGGGCAGGGCGAGCATCCTGGGGGGCGCCGCCCACGGTGAGCATCCCAGGGAGTGAGACACCCATGGGGGGTGAGGTGAGCTGCCCATGGCGGGCTGCTTCCTGGGTGGGGGAGGGAGGGAGCTGCGCTGCTTTGCGAGCAGCCTTCCTCCCTTCCCTTTTCCTTTTGACAGCTCAGGGGAGGCTCCCCCCTCCAGGAAGCAGCCTGGGAGTGGGGGACAATGGCCTGCTGCTCACCCGTGACTCCCAAGCTTCCCCCAAGCTGTCAAAACGAAGGGGGGAGGGGGAAGGCCGCCGACAATGTGGCATAGCTCAGCCCCTTCCCCCTACAGCTTGGAGTAGGCTTGGGAGTCGCGGGTGGGCAGCGTGCCGAATGTCACCCCCCTCAGTAATGTCACCCCCCTCGGTAATGTCACCACCCTGGGTAATGACACCCGGGGCAGAACGACCCCTCTTCCTCCGCCCCTGGAAGCACCTGCCTCAGGCAGCAGAAGCGCAAGAAGCAGCGCATCACCTGTCCCACCTACTTCCATCGCTACCCTACAGCGGAGAAGTTGAGCCACAGTGCCTTGCAAAGTGTCTCAGCCCCTGTTGAGTTCAAGAGATTGATGTTCCCACGCACAGCATTGCTGCTCGTCTTCCCTGCCCTGCGGGTGGGTGGGTAAAATTTCCATCTTCCATTGGTGATACACCCATGATGGAGTCCCATATAACCACTAAACCTTATTCTGTTGCTCTGACTTGTGTTCTGCCACTGGTAACACTACGTTTTTGAAACGTTTCTCCTAGTTCTTCTAATGCATTTCACAGCTGGAAAATTTCCCCCCTTCAATCCCTGGGTGTCTCCAGGAAGGGGAGAGAGAAACCAGCAGCTTCTTAAGAGTCCAACCTCATGATTCTTCTATCATGAGGCTATGGCAGTAGTAGGAGCAACTTTGCCCGTTGGTATTCAGCTCTACAGATAAGTCATAATACACTGTTATTCTTTTTCCTCCTAGCATGATTAAAGCAGAAAGTTTCAATATGTTTTATGTTCCTGCAATTTTATTAGCCAGTGCTTAAAACGTCTACTTCCAGAGGACATGTGTAAAGGTCATGTGGTGAGCTGGCTTGATGGCTATCTTTATCACCTTGCCAGTGACTGCGCAGGCAGATTGGGGTCACTGCAGGCTGGGAAAAAAGGCTGAGCAGAAAATCTAAGTGAAGGAGGATTAGAAAACAATTTGTCTAGAAAATGACACTTCCAGAGAAAGAGTGAAGGAAGGCCCCTAGAAATACCGACTCACCTGAAAAGGTCCTGGTAGGTCCCTATGGGATAAATGGGGATTATAGTTTTTCAGGCTGAAGTCTATGCTAATTTTCCTTGTGTTAAATGATTAAAGCATGCCCTGTGAGGAGCTTATGCTAAACTCAAGTGCTCAGTGTCTCACTGGGGGAAGTAATTTGACAGTCTGAAGCCAAGTCTCCTGCAGGGAGTAATTTGCAGGGATGAACCAAATTCTCATAAAAAAAGAAGATGACTCAACTTGAGCCTGGTGAATTTGACCCACTCAGGATCTCACTGGTACTTGATACCCGAGGCAAATATCTTGACAAGGCAGGCCAAGCTGTTGCAGACTTTGGAAACCAGCAAATGTGTGGTACACATGTGAGCCACAAAACAATAGGTCTACGCACGGGTTACTCACATGTAGAGCATAGCGTGCTGAGTCAGGAGTAAAATTGTGCTTTTAACCCCTCCCTGACATCTTCTCTGCTTCTTTCAAGAACCATGCCTTGTGTGGAGTTTTCTGCAGAATCTCACACATTGTTGTTGTTGCTTTACACAAAAGCATGCACAATACTTGACTGTTGCAAGAATCAGACACTATGTTTGGCAAGGGGCTAAAATTTATTTATTATTTATTTATTTATTTATTTATTTATTTATTTACGGCTATTAGCCCATAAAGGCTAAAAGCTCTGCCCTCTTCCCAATTCAATATACATTTGCCCTACACATGAGTAATGTGCATCTAGGGTTAAGTGTCTAGCTAAAATGGTAAACAAGAACGTATGACATCTGTGTGAAGAAACAAATTCTATTTACTACTAGAATGTGGGGTTACTGCATTGCTAGTAGGCTCAAAGCAGACTAGGATTTTGTTCAGTCTGCATTTTTAGCTGAACCTACCTACCGTATTTTTTGCACCATAACACTCACTTTTTTCCCCCTAGAAAGTAAGGGGAAATGTCTGTGCGTGTTATGGAGGAAATGCCTACGGGTGGCATGCCTACGGATTTTCCTCCTCTAAAAGCTACGTGCGTGTTATGGTCGGGTGCGTGTTATAGAGCGAAAAATACGGTAATTCATACCTCCTGGACACACAGATTAGAACATGCCCCAAAATTCATATTTAAAATGTATACTTTAGTATAAAATATCATGCAAATAAATCTGTACCTTAGTGTAAAAAAAAATATATTTTGTAGAAAATGCATATAAAAACAATGCAAATTTTAGTGTTGTTTTTTATTTTAAAAAACCCCGATCTGTCCTGTTTTCACAGATTTATGAATGAATGCACGGAAAACTGACACGGATCAGAAACAGACTGATCTCTCCATCCCTACAGCTAACAAAAGGATATTCCTCTTCATACAATGAATCATTCATGTAGTAAATTCCCTATTGCAAGGTATGGTGATGACAGCTCACTTTGGTCACTATTTCAAAAGAAGAGAGGAACTTGTGGAGTTTATGAATTAGCCATGACAGCTGAATAGAGCCTCTTATCAACAGGAAGGGTGGCAGATTTCAGGTCCAGGGACCAGGTGTGGCCCTCCGGGCTTCTCACCTGGCCCTTGGAATACTCTCCAGGCCATATAGCTCACTGGCCCTCTTTCATACCCTAAGTGTTTTTGCGTGGCAGGACTGTGTCCTTGAGAAGTGATCATGCCTCTAGCTTGTCTGGATGATGGGCAGAGAGGGTTGTGTTAATTTGTTCAGAAGCTTCCACTATACAAAGGTAAAAATTGCACCTGCTCCCCCTCCTATTTTTGCCTCTGGCTCCACCCATGTGTGCCTCAAACATTGGCCCTTTTATTTGTGGGCAAATAAAAATGGAGGGTGATTCTTTTCATGCCTGTGAATAAGCTCTCCAGAAGAAGCCAGCTGACCACCACTGAAAACAAACAAAAGCAAAGAAACCAAGAATGGTGGGCAAGATTAACCTTTGGTCTGATGCCAACAAGAATCTTCTTTAAATTTGTGTTTGGTAGTAGTCATATTGTACAATTTCAGCTGTAAACAATTTCTGCTGTATTACCAATTCAGAAGACAGAGATGAACCCAGTGCCAAAACGTGTCTTCAGCCTATCCATCATACTTTAGCAAAGTTGTTGTTGTTGCTGTTGTCTTTTTGGACACTCAGCTCATGCAATTAGGAATGCCTAGTTACTGCAGGGCATAAACAGCAAAACAGAGGACTAGTGAGGGTTTATAAAGGGGCTGAAAAGGGAGCCTAAGTAGATGGAGTAGGGTTACACATATTCTTTATCAAAATTCTCTAGGGCATATGGCCATGTTTGGACTATCATATCTGAGCTTATAAGCAGAAATTTAAAATAAGCCTTAGGTACTTGCATACCACACCTTTGTTCTTCCCTTTGCACAAGACAGGAAACAAGTCACACTTAATACAAGGAAGGCTTCAGATAACTATAGTTTCCATTACATCTGAACAGCAAAAATGGGTTCAATGGCTTCCTGAAGAGACAAGATAGAAAACCATAGCATAAAGTAAGTTTAAATCTTACCTTGTTTGGGAGCTATTAACCACAGTTTCCTGATTTGTTTTCAGCAAACTACAGTTAACTTAAGACTTCGTGCCTTGTTTGTTTGGTTGCAGGAGAATGAGGCTCGATGATATTGACTTAAAGGTAAAGGGAGCCCTGACCATTAAGTCCAGTCGCAGACGACTCTGGGGTTGCAGCGCTGATCTCTCTTTACTGGCTGAGGGAGTTGGCGTTTGTCTGCAGACAGCTTCCGGGTCATGTGGCCAGCATGACTAAGCAGCTTTTGGCGAACTAGAGCAGCGCACGGAAACGTCGTTTACCTTCCCGCTGGAGCGGTACCTATTCATCTACTTGCACTTTGATGTGCTTTCGAACTGCTAGCTTGGCAGGAGCAGGGATGGAGCAATGGGAGCTCATCCCGTCGCGGGGATTTTAATTGCCGACCTTCCGATTGGCATGTTGACTTACTGAGTTCAAAAATGATCAGCTGAGTGTGAACATTGTCCTCTGACTTTGGCAACCAATGTGATATTGGGCAACCAATATGATAAAAGGGCGTGGAAACCAAGCCTTATGAGGAATGGTTAAGGGAGCTGGGGATGAGAGGAGACAGAGAGGAGATATCATACCCTCTTTAAATATATAAAGGGCTGTCACATGGAAGATGGAGGAAGCTTGTTTTCTCTTGCTCTGGAGGGTAGGACCCAAACCAAAGGATTCAAGTTAAAAGCAAGGAGATTCCTACTAAACATCGAGAAGGACTTTCTGACAGTAAAGAGCAGTTCAACAGTCGAAATGACTCCTTCAGAAGGTAATAGACTCTCCTTCTTTGGTGGTTTTCAAGCAGAGGTTGGGTGGCCATCTGTCATGGATGCTTTAGTTGAGATTCCTGCATTGCAGGGGGCTGGACTAGATGACCCTAAGGATCCCTTCCAACTCTACAGTTATATGATACTATGGCACACCTAGGATTATTATTTTTTAAGAATCACAAATTTCAATTATAATGTTGTAACTTAAAAACAACAACAACCTATTATACAAATTCTGAAATTCATGAAACCGAAAATTTGGGGGGTTCTTATTGAACATCCAAAAATGAATTTTTATCCCAGAAGCCCTGGATGTCAATCCAAACCTCTTTTCTCTTCATAATTATTGAATCAATTTCCAAGTCCTTGCAAAATTCTGTCAACACACTATGTCGTTATTTATATGATAGCATGCAGATATAGACGTAGATGAAGCATATGTAAATGTTTTTGCAATGTTGTTGCAGTGTTGCTGTTGTCTAAAGAAAAAAAAGTACAGGTAATTCAAGGCAATGTATGCTTTGCTTGATTTATTAAAAAATAATAATTCTGAAGTTCTGCATTTCCTTTAAGATGTACTTTGTGGAGTAGCACACCCTGGGAGAAATTATTCAAAAATTGCACTAATGAGTGTCAAACTGCATTGCAAGGCAGTTTGAAAATTGTCCTATTAATTAATGGTGTAATTAAGCTTTTGTCATTGACATATCATATTTCTGACAGGAATAGATGGCCTATGCAAGCCTGCGCTAGGCAGCAATCCAGGCAGCTAGTGTGTATAATGGATGGCAGCAATTTAATGCAGGTTTACAGTGATGGGACCACCTGCATTGGGGGAGAGCTGGCAATAGCATACCAAGCAGTTCTCTCCACTGCATCTCGGCAAAATCGCCTTAGCTTAGATTGATGGAATCCTCCCTTGGATGACACATTAGCTCTTTGCCATTAAACCATAAAAAAAAGTGTTTCTCGGTGCTTTTGTGACAAAAATGTCAATTAACTTCCAACTTTCATTTCCATTTAATTTCGTATTCCCTGACTCATTTGCATATTAATGTGAACGTGGTATAGAACAGTTCGATTAGAATACCTTGGTAAGGCTAATAGCATGTAATGCATACTTATTGGGTATAATAGTTAGAAAAACATGAAAGTTTCTGGGAAATTTATTACCATGGTAGTATCTTCACATGGGAAGGGTGGGGTGGGATAATATCAAGCCACTGACAACATGAGTAGGTGGCATATTCAAGAGGGCCGACTAAAAATAGAATGAGGGTAGAAGAGAAATTTCTAAGTGCAAATGAGTGCAATATAAACCATTTTATTCTGTTCCTCCCTTGGCAACAGATCTCTATTAATTCTAATATTAATAATTTATAGCCTAGTGCAGTTAACAAGAACTCAAGAATTTAATCTGGGGGAGAAAAGAGGAAGAATACGATGAGGAAAGAATTTAAGTGTAGGACAGATTTAGCTTCTTTGTGCCTACACAGGTCACATGCTCAGATTTGTTATTGCATGTCCAAGAATGCAAACCTTTGCTGTTTGTAACTGTTGAGAAATGTGATTCTTCTGCTGTCACTAACTAGCCTAAAATATAGGAAGAGCAAGGTAGTAAAGGCTAATGCAATATCAAAACAAGTACATACCCTGATTTAAATTTCTGAAGTTCTCCGCAGCTCAAAATGTGAACGAGATTTCATGGACGCTGTTTAGGAGTGTCCATTTAAGGAGACGAACTTCTTGACAGGTTATTTCCCTCAGCATCACCTGAGAAAAACCATACTAGCTTTACACAATGAATTACTAGTATTATAAATAGAGCTGAACTACCACCACCTACCCCCACCCCACCCCAAAAGAGCAGGTTTGGAAAGTTTGGCAAACTTCCCTTCTTTTCAGCAATTTGGGGGAGGGTCCTAAAAAAGGATTAGGGACGTGGGGGGCGCTGTGGATTAAACCACAGAGCCTAGGACTTGCTGATCAGAAGGTCGGCGGTTTGAATCCCCGTGACGGGGTGAGCTCCCGTTGCTCGGTCCCTGCTCCTGCCAACCTAGCAGTTCAAAAGCACGCCAGCACAAGTAGATAAATAGGTACCACTCTGGCGGGAAGGTAAACGGCGTTTCCATGCGCTGCTCTGGTTCGCCAGAAGCGGCTTAGTCATGCTGGCCACATGACCCGGAAGCTGTACGCCGGCTCCCTCAGCCAGTAAAGCGAGATGAGTGCCGCAACCCCAGAGTCGGTCACGACTGGACCTAATGGTCAGGGTTCCCTTTACTTTTACCTAAAAAAGGATTAAAAATATTCATGAGGGGTATAATCCAATGGATGCTCCCAGCCAGTTGCTACTGTGATGCAGTGAAACCATAGTGATGCAATGTGGCAAAATGGAAAATCTTGCTGATGTAGGAGAATTGTTTCAGCATCATGGGTTTGTGTTTCCCTTCCTAGGCACCAATTAAAACTGAAGGCAGATGAATGGTTTTATTTGACTTCAGCAACACTGTCATATATTCCTTCCCTGGTGCAGCTCCAACGCTGTTCTTTGTTTCCAGAGCCCTTATTCTCCTCCAGTTGGTTCCTGCCATCCAGGGATCCTGCAGGGGATGTGGTGACATCAGCGCACCACATGGCCAATCAGGTTTTGATACATGGCAGGGACACTGAAGTCAAATGAAACCCTTCTGTGAGCAGAAAAATGGGGATTGCAAATGATACCAATGATAAAGAAGAGCATAGGGGGCAGGGGAACTGGGAATTTGCATTGATAACTAAATTAACACAGTACATTAGAACAAGCAAAAATAGATGAAGACAGAATGAATGTATAACAACCAAGATCTCCTTTATTGAATATTGTAAAAAAACAAACAAACCCCACAAAAACATCCTGTTGCTTCCAAAAATATTATATTTCTTAATGTTTGGAAGTTATTTCAGTCAGATTTTGATTTTTCAGAGATCATGGCTACTGTATATAATATTTTGAAAGCTAAATCTGTTTTAAAGCTATGGTTTTGTTTTGCAGCTCTTTTAATTTTATTGCCTTATGTATTTACATGTGATAAACCATGTTTCTTATATTATTTCACATTAGCAATGGTTAGTATCAGAGGTCTCTGTTTTCAGCATTTCATACCATTTTAATTTGCATATGCAATTATTTTTGTGATTAAATTTACAAATAAAATACCTCACAAACAAACAAAAGCCTTGCACCTATTTGGCAGGCCAGCTTCATCTACTCAGAAAGGGCTACAATTCTTGTTCCAGCAAAAAGTAAGGTGTCTAGGTTGTGCCTACAGCAGTCCAGTCCAAAAGGAACTGGTTTCTGGAGCCCCAAAGTGAGATCTGAATTGATCTTTGTTTTTGGTAAGGTAAAGGTAAAGGGACCCCTGACCATTAGGTCCAGTCGTGAACGACTCTGAGGTTGTGGCACTCATCTTGCTTTATTGGCCGAGGGAGCTGGCATACAGCTTCCGGGTCATGTGGCCAGCATGACTAAGCCGCTTCTGGCGAACCAGAGCAGCACACGCAAACGCTGTTTACCTTCCCGCCACAGCGGTACCTATTTATCTACTTGCACTTGACGTGCTTTCAAACTGCTAGGTTGGCAGGAGCAGGGACCTAGCAACAGGAGCTCACCCCGTCGCGGGGATTCGAACCGCCAACCTTCTGATCGGCAAGCCCAAGGGTCTGTGGTTTAGACCACAGCACCACCCGCGTCCCTTGTTTTTGGTGCACAACCCCAATTACTACCAATGTTAAAGAATAGCAGGCAACATGTCAGCAAATTGTGGAAGTTCTCTTAGAGAATGCCGGCATCCAAAGATACGGCAATCCCAGATAGCCATGTACCAAGCTTACTGCTGGATTTAGGGTAGTGTTGGTGGTTCCCCCCACAGGGTACCGAGCCAACGGGGCACAGAATAATAATAATAATAATAATAATAATAATAATAATAATCCTATATTTATATAAGTACAGTGGTACCTCAGGTTATATACGCTTCAGGTTACATACGCTTCAGGTTACAGACTCCGCTAACCCAGAAATAGTGCTTCAGGTTACATACGCTTCAGGTTACAAACGCTTCAGGTTACAGACTCCGCTAACCCAGAAACAGTGCTTCAGGTTAAGAACTTTGCTTCAGGATGAGAACAGAAATCGTGCTCCTGCAGCGCGGCGGCAGCAGGAGGCCCCATTATCTAAAGTGGTGCTTCAGGTTAAGAACAGTTTCAGGTTAAGAACAGACCTCCGGAACGAATTAAGTGCTTAACCCGAGGTACCACTGTACTTAATCGGATCCTCCTAATTGAGGGTCCGCGTTGCGCCCCCTTCCTATCCGTGGGGTGGGGGATGAGCCCGAGCCAGGTGATGGCCCCATGGTCACAGCACAGCCGATTGGCCAATCAGAGAGTGGTGGTGTGATTGTGGGGGCATTTAAAAGATGGCGGCGCATCGCTGGGGCTTTCACCTGGCTTCGTGCCGCCAAACACCCGCCCACCTGCCCTCGTTTTTAGGTGTCTGCTCTGGACTTCTGTTGGTCGCCTGTTTTGGAACAGGGTCCGGGTAGGAATTTTTTCCATTTGGCAGATTGGCACTGGTCATTGGGTTTTTGCCTACCTCTTAGCAATCGTCACAACTTTGTAAGGTTTGGCGGTTAGACATTGGCTTTGTGAGGTGTGGGGGAGGGGAGGTGTGGCCATCACCTGCCCCTCCAGGTACAAGGGTATTCTGTTAAAGGAATCCGTAGGTCTGGATTTCATCCGAAGTCCACTTGGGGGGCTGGGGCCATCGACGGAGCTCCGTCTTTTGGTTGTTTACCCTTACAGACTTCCTGCATGGTGGGCAGGAGTTGGATATAGTTTTTGCCAATGCCTAAGCCAATACCAGTCACATTTCTGTAATCAATAAAGTTGTGGCCTAAATTTTGCCCATCAACCTTTAAACTAAAATACTGTGTCAATGAGTTTTTATTATTCTTGGGGGGGGGGGGGGCTTGTGCTGCAGCCTTGATGCACAACTGAGAATATCCATTAAAAAGCAAATGTTCCAAAAGGAATTATTGTGAAAATAAGAAATATTTAGAGGATAGGATGCCAGATTTTGACTGCAAGAGCTTTCTTGACCTCTCTGCCTGAAGCACTTCTCTGCCAGCCTCCTGATATGGCTGTCTGGTATCCCAGCAGCAGCAGAAATTCTACATTCCTTTCACCTTTTTTTATGTCTGGGATCTGAAATGAAAGATCAAGAGAGAAAGGGAGCCATCCTGGGAAAGTCAGGTTGGTTGAGAGAAAGCTGACCAGAAGGAGATAAGCTGCGGTGATTTTTTGATATTTTTCTTTTGGAACACCCAGAAGGTGTTCGCATGCAGAGGTCATGTGGACCATACAACTTAGATACATTCCCAGTACTCATAATTTATGCTTTGGGGTGAAAGCATCAACCCAGGCATGTATACTACAGTACAGATTGATATTCTGTGTGTCTAGCATAATTATGCCTTGATCCCCTCTCAGACTCGTAACTCAAGAATGAAAATAAAATTGCCTGCTGCAGTGATAGCTTCCAGGATTTCTATCACAATAGCTGAAATAAATCTAAGTTACAATCTGCCATAGCCTTTACGCACCTGAGGGTCAGCGGGCAGCCAAGATACAAGAGTGTCCTGCAGTTACTGCCAAGTTTCAAAGGTGATCTCGGCCAAAGATCTGAAGACTTCATACTGACTGAATATGTTTCTAAGTGACTTGAGACACAGCATCTCGTTTGATGGCTTAGTGGATGTCCAATATATTTAAATTAAAATAGTGTTTCATTACATCGGATCAGACATGGAATTACTTTGCCATTAATTATAGGTAATCTGCACTTTTACATTAACTCCATTACCAGTAATAGACTTTTAATGTGGTACTTACATTGTGCTTAAAGGGTGAGCACTGATACTACTTGGAAATATCTAAAGGAGAGAATGAGAAGGGAGATTAGAGGGGAGAGGATAAGACATGGGGTGGGGAAGGAAAAGAAAGGAAAAGAAGGGGAGGGAAGAAAGATGGGCCATCAAAAGGCTAGAGGAGGTAGTGATGAAGAAAGGAAAAGCAGCAGAAGAGAGCAAATTAAAGGACAAAACAGGATAGGGCACTGGTGTGATCATTAACATATTGAAAGCTTATTCAGTGCTAGAAGAAATAGGTCACAACTAGGATTAGTTTCAAATAGCTAAAGGCCATTTCAAATATTACACAAGGCGAACGGATCTGCACCAAACCATTTGTGTATTTGCAATTATGCTTGTTACCACCACACTTTATACATTCAGGATACCTTTAAAATTGTAGCATTCTGGAAATACTGATATCAGCAGTTATGGATTTGGGGAATAAATATAACCATGGAACTCAGGGGGGAAGGAAGAATCACTGAATCCACAGTAGGCTTGGGAGTAGCCCATGTTGGTTCTTTCGCTACACTAGGAGGCAGGCCTCTAGAGACATCAAGGCCTGCCAGGACATTGTGGAGCAAACTGCAATCTCCATTAACAATCTGGACATCCAAAAAACAGTCTACTGTCTGAATTCTTGGAGGTGGACCAGATTAACTTTCCGCATGCTGAAAAAAGTGCCACAAAACTTGGGGCCAGTTAAACAAGCTTTGATAAGGCGAACTGTTTGGTTGAAATGTTCCTTGCTTTGCGTTTATTAAGGACTGGAAATTCATTTTGGACTTTTTGCATGAAAGAGAAAATGAACTAAGAGATGGAAAAGGGGCCCCACCCATTTGTCCTCTGGCACAGAGCTCCCTTTCATTTGTTCTCTTAATGACCTATCACCCAAGTGATTACCTGAACATTGGACGCTAGTCTGGCTTAATTAGCTCTTAACACTTGCTGGGAACAAGGATTACATGCCTGGCACCCACAAATGCATAACAATACTATGTGTGCCAGCAATACTTCTACATTGGTCCTATGGCTCTAAAAACATTGTGTCTAGCATTCCTAAAGAGCTGCAGTAGATGAAAATATCACTCCTTTTTCTTTTGAGTTGCACAAAGTAAGACCTCCAGCATGAAATAGAAAGAATTAATCCATTTCCGTGTGCCTTTGTTGGCAGTACAGAACTAGGGTCTGACATTATGTAACCTCATGCAAATATGGATCTATCTATATATCTATATCTATATCATCTAATCTATATCTATATATCTATATCTATATTTATATCTATATCTATCTATCATCTATCTATCTCTATCATCTATCATCTATCTATCTATCTTCTATCTACCATCTATCTATCTATCTCTATCTATCTATCTATCTATCTATGGATGAGATTACATAATATATCACAGAAAAACTGTCAGAAGATAAGGAAGCAAATTGAAAATACATTTAAAATGCAGAAAAAACATGAAGGAGGGGTCCACGCAATCCAGCAAGAGAAAGTCACTGCATTTCTTTAAGAGTCTGCTTTAAACTATACAGTCCTGCCTCTATTGTTTAAGTTAAAACAGCTTGATGTGCTAAATGTAAAAAATAAATAGAAACACAGACTGTCGTTGCTGTTCAATTATATTTATGATGATGCTTTGGAATTTGACAAATTTACAGCAAAAAAATCTTGAGCTGTAAAGATTTGCACTTCCTCTAGCAGCATCTTGTTATTTAAAGGATTTGATATGCAAAATCTTAGATGCTGTATCCAGGCACACTTTACCATGTGTGAAAGACAATGGATTTTAAGGTTGTCTTTAATAATTTACCCAACTCTTCATTTCCTTTCCAGCATTTTCATCTCCAAAGTGTAGTGATAGCAGCACTAAGACTTTATTAGCTGGAAACCTATTTAAAAGGAGTCATACAAAAAGCTATAAATGCATTTGCAAACTGGAATCTTTTCAGGAACCATTCATCAAGCTTTGTAGGCTATGCTAAAACAAATAGAAATAAAATTCTTCCCCAAGACCGTCTAAATTCTGTATCAAGAAAAGCTAAATTTTGTCCCTTGTCTAAATGCCAATTGAACACATTTGTAAAATATATCTAATTCGCATAATTTATTCAGCAGTTTTTGTTGTTGTACATATTTTATCTGGATTGTTCATCATAGGAGAGCAAGGACCATGAAGCACTCCCTGACCCAATCGACCCAATCAATTCAGCCACCCCTCTGGTTTTGGAAATTTCTGCAGGCATTGCTCATACAAATTTTCAGATATAATTTGATAGCCCCAAAGGTGAGAAATTTGCTATTTACTCTAGCTAGCTATCTGAGGTTCTCGGGAAAGTAACGTTTGTGCCCAACATCACATTCTGTATCTTTTCCATGCTTCTCCTGAAAGGCAGCATGTAGAGTAAGATGGAGAGAGGCCTGGTTATTGCCATGTTTTAAATTTGGGGGGTCAGTCTGGATGAAACCCTGGAACCGCTTCCATGCCTGCAATCCTGTATCTGTGAGGGTAGCCTGTATCAGAGGAAGCTTTCCAAACCAGCTCCTTTGTCGGGATAATGACTTTGGCTGGCTAGTTAAGTACCACAAATCAGCATATCCAGAAAAGTTGCCCTGTGCCATAGAAACAAATGGGTTCATCGGTTTACACATTCATTCAGTCAGATAGACAGTGGAGCTGACAGTGCAGATTCCACAGAGAACAACTTGAACACTCTCCACAGTTTCCACTGACAGCTGCTGCTATCAGCAGATTTTGGTAGATAGTAAAAAGAAATGGAATCATTCAGGTAAGGACATTTTGGGAGAACTATAAACACCACCACCACTGTGGGCACTGCTATTTTAGATGTCTGAATCTCTGATTAGATTGTAGACCCATGGGACCCACAATGGTAGAACCCATAGTGTGAATTCTCCAGGAAGCAGCTTGTATGTTCTGTGGCTAGCGTGCCATTTCAGTCATGCTTGGAAAATTTGAAAGTGTCTCCTTCCACTCACAGGGGAATATGGCTGCAATTGGACAAATTCTCAAGGAAACACAATCCCCTCCTCACGTCTACTTTTTGCTATGGTGGGAATATGGATTAATAATTATGTATGTTTTGGGGTTTTTTCCCCCTACAGAGCATTATAGGTTGCAGGAAGTATAGGCCTCTCCACCTCGTAATTTCAAGGCAGTCCAGAAGCCACATATGGTTGATCAAGAACATGGCATACAAGAAACATCATGGTTTGTTGGCAATCCATTACTTGGCCTGTTACAATATAGGGCAGGGAGGCCACAATATTCCTTTCCCCACCTTTCATGTTTAGAAAAAGGATTTCCATTCAGTTCCAAAATTCTTATTCTCATTCTTTTATGTGCTTATCTATTGACACAGGAGGCTGTTTCAGAGAAGATCTTATTTAGTGCTGTGCTTGCATCAGATTTGCAACAACATGAGCTTCAATTGCTCTATAAACCCCAGGAAAAATGCATTTCACAGTGCATACAGATTCCATCACCTTTCATTACTCACAGGCCAACTTTTCTTCTAGTTTAGTGTTCACCCAAGATGAACTAATAAAAAGCCTCAAAAACATCTCTAGGAAAATACAAGGTGTGCATGGGATGAAAGGCATTCTCTCAGAAAAAACTCTTCAGACCAAAGTCTGATTTTGACAGTCATCTCGTTCTTCTGTATGTTTCTAAAAGCTTTCACTAATAGGAAATTTGTGTCAGTTCAGTGAGGTCAATGAAATAGCACTGTATCTTGCAGTTACATTTGGAAAGAGAGGCTTAAGAGACCAGCTGGTGCTACAGAGGACTGCCACTAGCAAGAGATTCTTTGAAAGACCTGCTTACCTGGGCATTGTATGGACTAGAGCTTAGGGTCAATCGATGAAGCTGGTTAAAAAGAGCTTGACAGATGACAAGAGATTGTAGCCATAGGTCAGTAGTAAAATACATGCTTTGCATACAAAAGGTCCCAAATTTAATCCCTGGCATCTCCAGACAAATCTGGAAAGGCCCTGTCTTAAAATCTGGAGACGGCTTGTCTACACTTCCGCTTGTCCTGTGTCTAGGAGGCATGTTTCTGGGCAGTTTTCTGCTTGACCTGTGCTTTCTAGGCATGGGTCCGAGCGGTTTTGCCTTTACCCTGCCACTTTACCCTGGAAAACCCACTCTTTAGTGCTAAATCGGAACAAATGGCAATCTGCAGAAAACCCAATTCCCATTTGTTCCAATTCAGTGCTGAAGATTGGGTTTCCCTGGGGGGAAATGGTGGGCAAAGGGAGGTTTGGATAAGCCCACCGTGTAGACAATACTTAGATGGAACAATGACCTGCCTTAGTATATTGCAACTTTCTATTTTCCCAACTTAATCAGTTAGTGGAACTCCCTACTATAAGATTTAGTGAAGGCTTTGAATAGAAATTGAGGTCTATTTGCTGCGATATCTAAATAGAGAAGCAGAAACATGGTATCTTTTAGGGGTGTGCAATGGCTTTGCATGAACCCCAAACTGGAGCAGGGTACCTCTGGGAGATTTTTTGGCTTTTTTGAGATGGGGCCTATATGAGGCAACTTGAAGCAGTGATCCCCTAAAGTGCCTCAAAGCACCTCCAGGACTCAGACACAGACACCCCCCCCAAAAAAAAAATGCAGAGTAGTGTCTGCAAAGAAGTGATATTCTGCCTTTAAGCTTACCCCTTAAGGAAAAAGACCAGGGTGTGGTAAGAAGGGAGAGAAGAAGAAGCTTTGCAAAAGCAAAACTTCTGTCTCTACAATTAAGAATAACGCCAGGACCAGGAGCCTTAATGACTGACAGATCCAGCGTGTTATCAGAGATAATTACTTTACCAGGGCTCCAATCCCAGTGCTTTGGGGTAAAGATTTTGAGTAGAGATGGGGAAGATTTCAGTTTGAACCTCGCATTCTGTATCTGCCTGGACCACACTTGGATCATAACACAGACATGTGGATTAGACCACATGTTTACAAAACTTTCCAAAGCATGGTTCACTCTAACTTACATTGCATTTTCATAAGCTGGTCCAAGGACTTCTCCAGTTCTTCATTTTTTGCAAGTAAGTAAGTAAGTTTATAGCTTTTTGCAGCAGCTAGGTAGTGTGACATATTCTGCGCTCATTGAAAACTGCAAATAAAATCGTCTGTAAGGCTACCCAGGATTTTGGAGTGTGTGTGTTAGGATGTTTGCCCCATAGCCATCTTTATATTCATATAATTATTCAGGAAAGGGATGGCAGTCGATACACTACCGTAATTGAAACTTCTGACAAAATTCATAACATGCCCCTGCATCTAGTCGCAGTTTTCAAGGAATGTGGCAATGGTGGTGCTTTCTAGTCGCTGCAAGCTGAGACATGGAAGCTGAGGCTGATGAGAACTGTAGTCTGAAACATCTGGAAGGCTCCAGGTTCCTGAAGGCTGTAGCAGGTCATTTCCATCGAAATTTGCACCAGTGTTTGAGGATCTAATAACTACCTTGCTTATGAAATGTCATGTCAGAGCATTAGTTGCAGAGATATTCACGCACACTCCCATAAACCCCAATTTCTACCTTTCCTGGTAGCAAAAGCTAATCTGTTTTTCCTTGTGCTACAAGTGGCCTCTGTACCAAATTTGGTTCAGATTTGTCATCTTGCTCCTGAGATATTGAGACTGCATCATACATACACTAAATTAATGATTTCTCTTCTGAGAAAGAACAAACGTGTAAGAATGCCAAACTCATTTATCCTCTTCAGAACAACATACCATTCAACCAGAAATCAATAGCCTACTTACAACATTTCGTGTGCATGGAATGGCATAACAGCCTCTGCAAACTTTCAGAAATGAACGTCGGATTAGGTGGGCTTTGGCAAGGTAATTCTGATGCCCTTGTGACTACAGTGACCAGCACTTGTGTTGCAACCTGACGTAAGAAAAGAGACGCAGACAATGGGGTGAACCAAGGCCACTTTTTATTCATAATATCTGCAGGGGAGATTAGAAGAGCGGGAAGCTAAGGAAGATAAGTTCAGCTTTGGCTGAGCCAAATGCTTCGCACTTCAAGCAGCTTGATAAGGCACAGCCCCCAAAACCTAGGCCTCACGTTATGGTAAGCAGGGAGGCTTTCTTCCCCACCCATCCCAAGTGCCAAAACTCCAGGCAGGTGCAGCAGGTGGGATGGAGGGTGAGTTGGGTAGGTATGAGAAAACAGCCAAAGGGACTTTCTGGGGATGTGCCTTTGCATACACAGTCTGTGTGTAGATGTGCATACACTAGGCAGTCCCAGACTCAGCACTGCATGGCTTGAGGTAGGGGGGGGGCAGACCTATGACACCTAGCTTACCTTCAGCTTAGAAAACAGTAGTTTACCGCAAATCATTCCCCTGCCCCAAAATTTGGCTAGGAATTCACCTAGAAACAATCTCCTCTAAAATTAGTGGCTTGTGTGAGCATCCCTCTCTTGCTGTCTTACTGAAGTAGTTCTAAACTGGTTGTAGCTTTAAAAAAGAAAACACTGTTTGAAATTTATCAGCGCCCCTTTTCACAATAGGGAAGTAAAACAGAAGGGCAATGAAACACAACACAAGGGATGAGGAGGAGCCAGGTAGACATTTATAACATAGACACACCTTGGATATCTATTGCCTACCTTTGGGAGAAAAGGTGGGGTATCTAACAAACAAACAAACAAACCAAGAAACCAAGTGCTATAGCTCCTCTGAAAACAAATGGTGCTTCATTTCTTACTTACTTACTTTTGTATTAGGTTGTGCTGGTCTGTTGCTTTCTACTGTCCATGTTCTCTTTCTTTATTGCATGTCATTTAACCCTGACTTCACTTCTGCTGCAGGGATCACTTTTCCTTTGGGTATGTTTTGAAAGAGAAGAGAAGAGAAGAGAAGAGAAGAGAAGAGAAGAGAAGAGAAGAGAAGAGAAGAGAGACCACGACCTAACAAATATTACTGAAGTCCTTTTAACAGTCCTATTGAAATTCCTACCCATATTTTGCCTCAGTGGGACCTTTCAAATTTGCTTTAAATTCCATTTTGGACTAGGCATATATTATATGAACATGGCTTCAAAAGAACATTTCATCTGCTGCTACTTACAAAAAATGGCAGGCTTGGCATCTATTCAAGTACTTATTACGAAGCTTCTGTGATATTAATAAATGCTGCCTGCTAAAATCACATTTTCCCTTTTAACTTTGGTGGGGTGGGGGAGGAAGTAGAGGACGACACACTTATACCTGCTCTGACTCATATAATAGCCAGGACCTCTGCAGAGCAGTCCAAACTACAGCATTTGCTATTTTCCAACACCTTCTCAGAAGGGAGTCAAATCAATCTCTTCGTTGCTGATATGGTAGGTCACCTTCAGCCTTTTAAAGTTACACACACACACAAATTGCAGATAGCTAATGTAGCTTCTGTTAATGCACACCTCTGTGGAAGATGCTCTCTTCAGGGTCCAAACACCTATCCAATTCTACCCCTGCCCTATCTCAGCAGCATATTAATTCTCAGTGCCTTCCTTCATGCATACATTGTAAAAACAACAACGTGCTACTACTTTATAAGCGAAAAACACTCTTAAGCATGCTCAGTTTCACAAATTTGGCATGTCAGCTACTAACTCTCGGCCTAGCCTACTTCACGGAGCTGTTGTGAAAATAAAAGTGGGAAGGGAAAGACAGTGTACATTGCCTTCAGGACCTTGGAGGAAAATAAAGATACAGATACATAGCAGCAAGCAGCAGATATGTGCTGTTTCACAACTCTCAGCAAAATACATACACACACACAAAACGGTTCGCCAACATTCATCACTAAAGTTTCCCATGTGTTAAAGTGTGGTTTCCAGGAATTTTAACTTGCTGCAGCTATGAGGTGTTTAATTATTTTATCGTTGTATTTGTTGATTCATTCTGTATTTTATATTTTTATTTTATGTTTACTGTATACTAATAAAGAACAGCTCAGTGATGACCAATGAACAGTAGTGGTTGTGAAGGGCATAGAAAATTGCTGAGGGGACTGCAAAGTCACCGTTTTGGCTCAGTAGGAAGGAAACCTCATTTATTTCAAGGATGGTACTTCTGAGTAAAACATAATGTTATGAGTTTGTGGGTGCCAGACCCCTCTAATTCTAGCAAGTGTTAAAAACCAAACAAACCAGGCTAGTTTCCTGATGAGGTAACTTTCTGGGTGATGGGCCTTTAAGAGAACAAATGAAAGGGAGCTCTGTGTCAGACCGAAAATGGTTGGGCCCTCAGTAAGAAGGACAAAACCTGAGTTTGAGGGCAGAATTTGCTGTTATGCGAGCTAGAAGCTGGAAAAAAAGCAGCTAGCAGAGGATCAGAGTGCAATGCTTATTCTCTGCTTGAATTCCAGGCTATGGCTAAGGGAGAAAAAAGACCCTTTTGGGGTGTTAATGCTGTGAACCCCTCCATCACAGGCTCAGGTTATATATATGTGTAAATAAACCATATATCATAAAGACACCACAGTCTCCGCTCTGCTTCATTTCCAAAAGGAAACACTATTCCATCCTGAGGCTTCTCTCAATCTGGAGAGTATAAACAAAACTCCACAAACCTCTCAAACGTGTATTTTATTGACGTTCACAAGGCACATGTAGAGGTACATCCTCATATGGCTCTGACTGAATGTGGTTAGGAGCTCTTTGTGAAGTTCTGTAAGAACGAGTGACTTTACCCCGCTTCCTGGGCTTGCAAGAACTAAAACAGAACTAGGTTGCAAAAGAGAGAGGGAGTTTCTCCCTGCTCTGGGCAGAGCCAATAGATACTAGAATATTACTGTGCCTTCATTTCCCAGCCTGCCTTGAGGTCTAGAAAGGTACTACCTTTTCTTAGAGGAGCAGCATTATTATTCCTTCTACCCAATACTAATACACAGATTTGCTGTCACTAAATAACTGGACCCTGTGGGAGCAGAACAAACACAGACCCTGGGTAAGTGCCTGGCGCCCCTGGAATCTTGCACTGCTTGGAGACTGGGGTGGTGTGCACCCCGGCAATTGTGTTCTGTTCTGTAAAGGCAGCAGAATGAATGAAATAACATCAGCACAGAGGAAAGTGCTTAAACAAACATACCCCCGGTAAGTTCCTTCATCCACCTTCCCCTATTTCTTTCTGCTGGTCAACATTCCTTTCTTTAATTCCTTGGCAACTGTGATTAAGCAATAGTGCTGCCTGCCAAAAACTAAAGCTTTAAAGTTATCTCCAGGAGTTGTTTTATAACTTTCTTTTAAATTTCCCAATAAACTTCTTCTTTTTTTAATGAAAGCTAAGAGTCTGGGTCCCCTGTTGGCATGAGGCCCAGTAAGTGTGTACCCTCATACTGCCTTGTCAGCAGCTCTGAATTGTTTCAGATTGTAATCTTAGTCACAGAAAGCCTCTGGCTTCAGGCTTTCTGTTCAAACAGGTATGGCTTTTTGGTCTTCCTTCCATGTACAACTGCATAATACATAAGGCAATGCTAGCAAACTTCATCTTTAGCTCTCAGCAGGGAACTAATAATAGTGCATGATTGCAGTTTAGCACATGTGTCACAAAAGCTAGCACCTCACTGATTTGGGAGCAGAGTGGCAAACTTTAATTCAGTATAAACCTGACCTAATAGGTTTAAAAAACAGAAAAAGCTAGCCATGACCACAATATTTTTGCTCTTGAAAGCCAATGTTTATTTTCTTCACTTTTTTTGTGAATCTTTTCTATACATTTTAGAAACTGGAATACTGTTGCTATTTTATTAAAGATGCTTTAGCTTTAGCTATTTGAATTTGCAAAATTGTAAAAAGTGCAGGGAGCTTCCTGGAGAACAGAAGGCTCCCTGCTTCAGAAATCCATCCACCAGCTCATGTAGAGTAAACTATGCTGACCAGTTTTTTGAATGTGGATGAGTGGGTCAACATGGTGTGAATCATCAGAACATGGGTGGAGGAGATGGGCAAGCCAGGTCTGCCCTCCTGGGTTCTTAGCGCATCATAAACCATCAGATCTGCAAGTCCCAGTGCAGATCTTTGAATCCAGAATGCTAGTTGATCATATTTCCATCACCAGTGAAATGTGGATTTTCTTCTGCCTTCTTTCCAATACCAAAAGACAGCTAAATATAAAATGCACCACAATGTCCTTTACACAGGGTATAAAACATACTTGCAAAATGCATATCAAATGGTGTGCATGTGATTGGAAATAGGGTTGCAAATAAGGTCTGCAGATGAATGGCTGACAGCTAGCTCCAGCTTCCTTCCTCTGGATCCCTGATTCCTCTTCCTCTTTTGGTCCTCTTGGCTCTTACCTTCTTCTGTGATGTTGACATGGCACTGCTGTAAAGCAATGGTATGGCTTAGTCCCGGTCTCCAGTTTCTAATGGGAAAGGAGGATTTGGAAATCTGTCTCTCAGGTGGAAACTGGGAGGTTCTCTGAAGGATCTCCCTCACTAGCACAAAGAAAACAGGCCCACAGACACTGTGGAATATTATTATAGAAGGTTAAAACTCCTTTGCGTCTATGTTAAAGTGTTGATCCTTTCTTCTTTGCTTTCTTCTTTCCAAATTTCTGCTCCCAACACTTCCTGTGTCTGATTTCGTGTACATTAAAACACGGTATTCAACTGAAACAAATTTATGGTTATGTTAAATTCTCCATAGCAAACCCGAAATCCCTTGAAGCTGATAAACCCTTTTCCTTTTCCCTTTCGCAGATCAAAGTAAAGGGTACCTTTTAATCTTTCACAAACTTGTATTTTAATGAGAATTGTAACCCCGTATTGTAAACCTCTCCTTAAGTGACTTGGCCTAGTAGCAGGAAAAACAATCAAAGCTTCTTTAGCTGCTCACATTAAGATTCATTTGCTTCATAACTAGAGCATTTCTGCTGATAGGTCAGAAATTCCATGTGTTAAATATAGCTACATATCAGAGTGAAATTAGCTAAAGCAACAAAGGAAAGGACTTCCAAACCAGAAAGGAACCAGCCTTGAGTATAGCTCCTACACACAAGCACAAGTGCAACAAGGGCTTTTTACTTGAAATTTTAGTAGGGGCAGAAAATGCTACTGCAATGAGACATCGTACTTAGAAATAATTACTAAATATTACTAGCTTTACAAATGGCAGCAAAAGAAACCAGTTTGTTTGCTGCCTGCCCTTCATCCTAAGATCTCAGTGTGGGTTACAGATTGTATTGTTTAAGGACCAAACTAGATGTGATTGGGACAGCTGTTCTGCACATGTTCACTCCATTCTCGCATCAGACACCAAGTGTAGTTAATCTAAACTTCATACCCATTTGTGCCATGGACCTCTCCCCTCTTCACCTGCCCTAATCCTGAGCTTGTCTTGAGCAGGGGCAAGGAACCTCAGGTGTGGGAGCCAAATGGAGCCCTCCAGGTTTCTCTCCCTGGTCCTCCCCACACCATGGCTTCTCCCTAGCTGGCCTTGCTCTGTACCTTCCTTTTGCCAGAATATGTCCTTGAAAAGTGATGGTGTCTCTTTCATGCCCGAATGGAGATACAACTGTATGTCTGTCTGTAGGAATCTAGTAGCTGGAATGAAGCCCATTGTACACAGGTAAGAGTTGCATTCATAGCCCAACCATGTCTTGGTTTGACTATGCCTGCTGCTGGACTGAAAGGGGGGTAGGAGACCTGGAGCATTGATTAATGTCCCCTTACCTGTATGTCCCCCCCCCTTGGTTAAAAATTAAGCCCCCCTTCTCAATTTATACAGTCTTACGAATAAACTAACATGTCTCCCCACCACATCTAGAAAAAAAGGCTTTCTGAGGACAGAAAGATTGTGATTTGTGCTACTGGTGGATACTAGTCAGGTATCAGCTACTTATATTTTCCATTACTAAAGTTCTCTTTGCTGCAGAAAAAGGTATTTATAATGGGCTTTTAGCAAACAGATAGATGAATGAGGTTTCTTGTTGAGCTAGGGATCTGTATGTTCCCAGAGTTCCCTCATAATGTATAAGTCCATGGATAATTGCTAATGAGCCAAGCCCCTGGAGAGCCAAGCTTCTGATCTTCGCTCTTTTCAAGGAGGTCTTTATGTCTGTCAGCACCTGCTGAATATCACATTAATAGCTTTGAATAAAGGACCTGGGTAAAAGAACGAAGATCATTCCATAATAATCAAGCTTATAGTTCAGGGAACTGAAAGCATGAACAAAATAGAAAAATGACAAGTCGTTTAAACGGGTGGATCAACTAATTTCAAAACTTAGGAACATATGGTACCACTCAGCTGCCCCTCATTAGAAGAGACGCCACTCATTTTAGACCCAAAAAACTAACACCTTCCTACACAGCCCTGATGTTCACACTTTATTACAGTAAATTGTTTACAGAAAAGAGGCTAAATCATGAAAACAGGGCTGTGGAAAATATCACTTTGGGAGTTGAAATTCCCACAGGAGAAGCACTTTGAGGAAAGAGCGGAGGGGGACGAACTTCTAAAATGCATCTACCACCTCACATGACAACTAAGCCCAAGTCCCATGAGCACATCCACTCTGATATATTCATACACACAAATGCACGTACATCATCACTGTAGTCATTACTGTACAAACAAGAGAAACTAAATGAACAAAAAGCACTACAGCCCAAACTGAGAAAGAAAATGAGAAAAATATTCAGCATCTATCTCAGACCATAGCCAGTATCACTAGATGAGTAGGTCACCATGGTACAGTCTTGTTCAAGTATTGTATAAATGGGTTCTATTGTGTTAACAAACCCTGGTTTAAATTAATATTTCCACCCCGGAGATATTTAAAACAGGTCAACTACGGCTACAATCCTAGCCTTACCTACCTAGGAGGAAGCTCCACTCAGTAGGATTTACTTCTGAGAAGACATGGTTAGGATTGTGCTATTACAAATCAACACCATCTTCCAATTCTTTCATTTCCAGATCTCAGGACTTGGCAAATGGTCTTGTTCCTAATATTTAGTAATAAAATCCTACCTATAATTAATGAATTAGCCAATAACTGCCTGTGTTCAGATCTAACATAAGGCTTCACATAAAATATTTATAGGTATCAATGGGATCTCTTTAACTATAATGTCTTTAACATATAATAAAATATATTTTCCATATTGCTAGGTGATGTCACAGCCCCATCAGATGTGGAAGGAAGTCTCAATGCATCATTCAAACATGTAGCAATTGAATTACTATGCAATCTGTATATTCTTACAGCATAATGTATATGTTATAGTTTTTTTATTAAAAGCTTACCCATTGAATATACATATATATATGATGTCCATTGTAAGAATTGGTCATCTCAGTAAGCAACTCTCCACTCAATTTTAATTTAAAATATTTTATCACTGTTAATCAAACCACTCTGAATACTTTGGATAGTAGGCACTGTTCTCCAACAGAGTTATCATTAAAACCTCAAAAGGTGCAATTATTCAGTACAAAAACAAACATATTATTTTGAATAATAAACTTGAATTTTCAGGTATTGCAAAAAATTGAGAACTTGCTTATTACGTACCTTTTGTATTAATGTGCCTAAAGATAAAACACTCCCCAAACCATTCCTCAAGGCAAATTTTAAAGCTCCTTTCCTCTTTAAGTTTCTGAAACTTTTTGCTGCCAAGAAAAGAGGAGAATGGATATATTTTTTATGTTATTAAGAAACTTGCAGAATGGTTATTTTCACCACAGTTTCTTGTATCCACTCAAAGCCACAAGGAAATTTATACACACCATTTGACTCTGGCTTGGCAATTCGGAGCCAGATGGTAACCTTCAGGGAGCTGATTTTTTTGCTCAGGGCCATCAGTTCTCAATGCTCTACTGTATGAGAAGTGGGATGGATGCAGGCTATGTAAGTATCACACTGCTTGCCATGATGAAAGGACCGAACTCCACTGGTGTTCCAACCAACTGTTTGCAAAGGATGGAGGGCTTTGAAAACATTCAATATGCATGCTTGCAAAGACTCAAGATGTCCTGCCACTGTCCCCCCTCTGTCTCTGTCCTGTGGCTAAGAATCATAGAATCACAGAATTGGAGAGTTGCAAATTTAGCGCTGAGAAGAGGAAGGCTGCCACAGGCAATCCCAAACCATAGCAGAGTAACTTTTCAGTCCCGTGACTTGAGAGACCTTACCAGCAGATCGTTTTCTGGGCCTACAAGCAAGCTGTACTTTATTTTTTTATTTTTTGCTTTATTAAAAATCTCATATCATATGACACATTTCATATAGCATATCTCATATAACATACATATACATATGTATTGTACATCTTCTTGAGTAAACATATATATAATCCATGTAAGCAAAAACCATATACAAGTAGTATTCTGTTTATAAAATAAACTGATTCATATTTTACTATCTTTTGTTGTCTTATCTCTTTATTAACATGAGTTAAAGAAAGAAAAAACCAGAAAAAGAAGTAGGTGTAGTTGGACTTCCTATCATTTCCTGGTGTATAGCCTTATTCTAGTAATGAATATACCTATCATTATTGAGTTATTCTTTATATTCCTTCTAATACATTCTTACAACAGTTAGTACCTTTTGACTTATTTGCTAGTCTGTTATAGCTGAAACATTTCCGCCTTTCCAGTTCATTGCTATCAATGTTCGAGCTGCAGCCGTGGCATACAGAAAAAATTCTCTCAAATTTTTCAGAATATCGTTGCCGAGAATGATTAGCAGAAAAGCCTCGGGCTTTTTTAGAAAGGTTAACCCAAAGTTTTTTTCCAGCTCATCATATACAAGGCACTAAAATTCTCTAATCTTTCTACATGTCCACTACATGTCTCCATTACTTTCCCCACACTTCCAACAGTTGTTTGCTATGTTTTTGTACAAGCTGTACTTTAAATCAAAAGGTGCTTGATCATCTTGGTGTTTCATTTGCAATAGCACGCAGCCAGTATTTCAGGAAGGATCCTTCGAAAATGGCACAGGGCGCTTCTCTTGGGACATTGGCTGCAGTGTGAAGTTTCGCTTCCTGCCTCAAGGCCTTCTGCCACCTCTGCACCTTGCTTCCTGGGATGTCCTTACATCAGTTTTCCAATCTGTAGTCTGCTCTGCATAGCTTCCCCTTTCCTAAGGCTTTTGTACAGTTTAATCTCAGCCAACTGTCTGCATCAACAAAAGTATATTGTGTCTAGATCAAGGGAAGTAATAATACCACTCTATTCTGCCTTGTTCAGACCACACCTGGAATACTGTGTCCAGTTCTGGGTGATGAAATTTAAGAAGGATGTTGACAAGCTGCAATGTGTGCAGAGGAGGGCAACCAAGCCTTATGAGGAAGAGTTGAAGGAGCTGGGTATGTTTAGCCTGGAAAAAAAGGAGTCTGAGAGGAGATATGAATCAAATATCTCAAGGGCTGTCCCATAGAAGAAGGAGCAAGCTTGTTTTCTGCTGCTCTGGAGGGTTGGACTCAAACCAATGGATTCAAATAACAAGAAAGGAGATTCCGACTAAACATCAGGAAAAACTTTCTGACAGTGGGAACGGTCTCCCTCAGGAGGTTGTAGACTCTCCTTCCCTGGAGGTTTTTAAGCAGATGTTGGAGGGCCGTCTGTCATGGATACTGTTATGTACTATGCTTGGATCCTAGAACAATAGGCAAGTAGGATTCTAGAATGCAACAACTGATTGGCCTGCAGGAAAAGACCAATCAGGCTCCAGGAGGGAAGCAGAATCAGCCAATCAGACGGGACTCATTGTGTAAATAATGTATATAAAAGCCTGCGGTTTGGGGGGCAATTCAACCACTGTTTTACAAGCTGCAATAAAGAGCATGAAGGGCTCCCTTCCAACTCTACAATTCTATGATTTTCATGAAAATTCCCTAGCATCACAGTGCTTTAGCTTAGCAATGTCAGAGGCCTCACTATCACAGAATAAGTATTTTAAAAAGCACACAATGCCTGACTTCAAATTAGTATAGGAAGCAGCCCTATATACAGAGTTTTCACAGCACTCCCTAGATTTAGAGTGTTGTTCTATAAACTCTTAATCAATACAATTCACAGCACATCTTTGAATCTCAGGGCAACCCCATCTCAACATTCAGGGTGACCCAGAGAAGGTCCAAATCAGTTGGAGCCATCAGGGCTTATGCAAATACAAGCCAGCACGAAATGACCTGTACAAATAACTACGGCTCCCCATGCCAAGCTGCAGTGGGTTAGCAGGATCTGACTGCTTTGAGTCCAGACCTCTGAAGACTCTCTGCAAGGCAGGATTTGCTTTTGAGAAGCTGTTTGTAGTGTTGAAGGATTCACCTCTGTTGCTGCTGTCTCCGTTCAGATTAGCCAGCAAAGTATAACATCGGTGCCTGCTGTTTCATCATGCCTGGTGGGTATATATTGAGATCAAACACTTTACATCTGCACAGGAAGAAAGGCAAGAAATGTATCGTACTTAAAAACCAGAAAACAGAAAGGCAACAAACATGGTCATGGCGCTAGTTGTTCCGCTTCAGGCTTTACTTTTAACCAGCAATGCTAAACGCTTGAAGCCAGCCAGCCCTGTGCACATTACTTTTCGTAACAACACAGGAGACAGCAGGTATTTTAAATGCTTACATAAATGCATACACAAATGTTATGGGAATCCAGACTTTCTTTTGTGCCAAGTTATTGGATAGGTGCACTTTGAAACTAGGGGTGCCATGAATAGCTGTGATTTCCTACTCCTAATCACCGTTTCAAGAAATGCACAAGTTGTGGGGCACTCAAGACAATGGCAGAATGATTCAGATCGGCATTAATTTATACACTACTGTCTGTGCCTTGAAGAGGAGGGATGTGGTATACATTTTAGGTAATGCTTGTTTTATTTATTCAGCCACCAAGGAAATGTGATTGGGATATAAATCCTGATAATAAATAAGCAATAAATACAAAACAGTCATAGGCCACCTTTATGTCAAAATGCTCTACAAGATGCCTTACATCAATTGTTAAGGTACAAATGAATTATCCCCATGTGTGCCCCATGGGTGGGGAAGATGGTTGGAGGGCAAGAATAGTGCTCCATGGCACGGCCATGCCTATGCCGGTTGGCCTTTGGGGAGTTGACCAGAGAGGGAATGTCTCTCTTCTGGTCCACTCCTGGATTATACAGTTGGATGACCTTCGTGGTCCCTCCAACTCTAAAATTATATGATTCTAGGAAATCATAAGCCCCAGCCAAGCACTGTTTGGGATGTGATGTAAGGGGATTGGGAATGGAAGAACAGTTCCCAGTTGCTTTGCACTCACCATTGCCTGCCTGCCCTTTTCACTTCATTCGGAGTTGATTTTGTAGACAGTACTTCCCCTAGCATGAAGATGCGCAAAAGCCCCCTGTTGTAAACAAAAACTGCTCCCTTTCCCTTATGGGGTACGCAAGAGTCCTTTGTAGGTTCTCCATCAGTAGGAGAAAATAACAGAGGCCAACCAGAGAATATTGAGAAGCAAAGAAGCTGGTAAGCCTGATCTTTATTAAAGCTGTTGCAACAGGGTGCTCCCCCACACGCAGGAGAGGAGGACCCAGAACAAAGATGTGCAAGCCCTTATATAGACTTTTGAACTGCCCACCCTGGAGCCCAAGACCACCCATTCATACATCATACATAGGGTACACCAGAGAAGGGGCGGACTACAACAGAAATCTGAGTGCGTTGTTTTTATCCTGTCTGCCAGGTTACCTGATTGGATTACCTGGGCATCCTGGCAATTCTTTTGCTATGATAACTACTTAGTTATTGAATCCAGGTCACAGCTTACCCTATTCCTATCTTAACTGTGCCCTTGAGACAGGATTTGTGAGCAAAGAGACAATGGGGAGGCTACCCATTTCCTTCGACCTTGCAGAGAAATATTTGAGGTCAATGTGGAAGAGACAAATGGTTTCAGGACTTTTTCTTTGGGTCTCAGACATGTGGTCTATACATTTATGTATGTGCTTGCTTGGTACATTTATGTAAGGCCTTAAAATTCTTATAATAACCCCCCTGGGAACTTATAAGGAGGAGGTTCAGACACACACACACTCATATATATTTCAAGTTAGCTCCACCCACTGCTGGCCATGCACCCCACAGTCTGCATACTCCATAGGCTGTGAAGGCAAAGGACCCTCCATATGAGAGATCCCCACCCATGAAGGGGATGTCTGTTCATACATCAGTGTGTCTATTAAGGCCCTTGTCACATGTGAAGAATGCATGGAGTATGGTGTGTGAGGCTGGGATTAGCCTGGGGGGGCTGTGACCTCTTCATGTGTAATTTGGGCATATGGGGAGGTGTCATATGGGGGTTCCAGTCTGCACTCCAGACCACCTACTTAAGTTAGAATCCTGTGGCCCCATTGCCTGAGGGTCTGGTGCATCGGTACCCCCTATATTCGCCTCTGATTTTGCGTAAGAAGCGCAAGCACAGGGAAATCTGATCCATTCCTCTCTCTTTTTTTTGGGGGGGGGAGGTGTTATTTCTAAAAGAGCTGTAACACTGCAACCCCAAACACATTTACTAGGCCATAAATTCAGCAGATTTCAGTGAGACTTACTTCTGTGTAAACATGGGCTGGCACTGTAGGACTGCAATGCTTAGCCACCTTAATGGTGAGTCTCTGATTTAAATCAAAAGGACTTTCACCCCAGTAAACGTGGGAAAACTGTTTTTTCCCATGGGCTTTGGATTGGGGAGAAAAACACCAGATAAATAAATGTTTTCAAATACAGTATGGTTGGAATGAGGGAAGGTGTTTGCAAGCATCTTCTGGGAGGCAAACATAATCTAAAAATAAGTTATTGTTATGCGATTCCTTTGTGATTTTCTTCTCCTTTGTACACTATTTTTAATGCATTCCCCCTTGTGCTGTTTCTTACCTTTTGTTCTCTGTTTGTTTCATTAGTTCTAGATTGTTTATGGTTACTTGCTTTTTATTTTAACTGCATTTGCTATTCCCTGCGTCTGTCCCCCTGGACAGGCATTCTTCTCTCTTCCACATAACTGCTTTCTATGTGCCAAGATTAAATACTCTTTGATCTTCTTTGCTCCCACTGATCCATTTACATCTCTTCTGTATGTTTTTCTGGTCCTTGGATTACTTAACTCTTAAGTCCCTGATTTATTCTAGGTGCCAAGCTCTGTTTTCAGTTATCTCTCAGAATCTGATACTTTACTTTCTGAAACTATGATTACAGAAACGTGTATGGACATCTTTTATCCACCAGTCATTTGTTATCCCAGATTATCTATTGAGTTTTTCAGTAGAGTATGATGTTCCTCCATGTGACAGTAATTATGTAACACATGATGAGTGCTCCTATGTCTTGAGCCTTTGAAATGCAAGTTGGCACAAATAAAAGCAAAATTCTCTATTGTCCGATCTGCTCAGCAGTTCTGGAACTTTAGTACAAATACAGGATTGGTGAAAATGGACTGTAGGGGTGATTTGTGCCAAGTTTTTCACCTCTGGAAGAAAAGAAGAAACCTTGGAGAGTAGAATGGTTCCACTTTGTCCAGAACACTGGAGCAGATTGTGGAACCTTGAGCGGATTGCACAATCAGGCACATTCAAGCCCTTCCGACGCTGAAGAAATCAGTGAAAACCCTCCGACCACACTTGAGATGGTTCTATTTGAGCAGCACCATATAACACATTTTAGATAATTCCAGACTTCTCATGGCCATGCACATATCAAACCTTCAGTGCTGCGTGGAGCTGGTGTTCCCGCTGGCCCCTCTCCATGTTAGGGGCTTTTCATCATTTTAAAAATGTATCCATAACCTGCTGAGATGTTTTCATCCTAGTTGGCATATAGCTGGGGTGAAATTTGGTAACACTCCTCATGGGATGCAAGGAGGATAGGAACAGTCTTTGGACCCAGAGCTCAAAGGAATGTTAATGCAGCCCAGTAGAAGACATTACTCCATGCCCACTTTTATAGTGCAGGTCCGTTTGATTCAGCTCCACAGGTTAAGCAGCATTCTTGGGGCAGAGTTTGTTCTGCTACAACAAAGCACCTTTTAGGTTTCCTTTCTTTTTTTAAGTTACAGAAACATATGCAGCCTTTGGCTGCCGACGCTACCTTTTTGTCCCCAGAAACTCGGCACCACCACTTCCATCTCGCACACTGACACTTCAGATTAATTGCCAGCTTTTCCCCTGCTGAACTCAGCCAGCAAGCCACTTATGACTTCAGCAGATGTTTCTGCACTTCTAGCAAGCTAAAAAAGTTTATGTTCCCTTCCGCTTCCTTCTGCATTGACAAATTAACTCCATTGCAGCAGAAGAATTAAAGGGATGGGGGGAGGAGAGAGAGAGAACCACCAAAATGTATAGCAAAGAAATAACTAGCTACCAAATTAATTTGAATAATGACCCTGTTAACGCCTCACTTCTATCCAAGTGGGAGGGCTGGAGTCCAAGCTGAGAATAGACAGAGGCCCAAACTGACCCAGTAAGAGAAAGAAAAACAAACACCATGTTCTTCAACCGAATACTTCTTCAAGTAATCTGCTTTAGAATTAGGTATGGTTAATTGAGCTTCAACTACCACTTATTTTTTAAAAAGGAAAATAACCTAGTTAAATTCAAGCCCAGTCCTTCAAGCTGCTAATGACATAGTCTGAATCTTTCCCCTAGCCCCTCTTGAGCCCCCAGTCACACCCTGTGAGATCTCCCATGTCATAATATCCCAGATTTCCTTAACTGATGTTGCAGGAGCACCAGTGCCAACTGTTTCTGCAGCAGGTAAGGAGGAAAGGCTGTCTCTCTCTCACCCACCCACCCTGCTTGCTATCTTCTTCCCTGGTGCTTTAAAGCCTGATATAATATGATAGGAACATGGAGAGAAGGAGGAAGGACATCCTACCTGCAGATTTGCAACCAGTAGGTGGATGGGAGGAGTGTATTGGGGGGTAGCCGTTCTCTGGACTGAAGTGGTAAACATATCTTCCAACTGACTCACTGTACACAGAAGAATGCTGTTCTGTGATGAGGCTGGGGAACTGCAGATCTGAATTATCTGATTTCAGCATAACTTTAGTTGTAGCTTCACGACCATCGAAGAAGATGCAGTCAATTTCACCCTTCTTTTCTTTTCTTTTCTTTTCTTTTCTTTTCTTTTCTTTCTTGTTGCGTTTGCAAAGTAAAGGAAGGATTGAATTAAGCTTTGATGTTTGATCTCTGATGTTGACTTATGTATATCATTTTTCCTTTGTTTTTCAAGCTTTAATAAAAATAGTTTTTTAAATTACAGCCTTCTGACAAATATCAAATTCCTGACCTAGGGATTTCATAACATTTCCTTGGGCCCTCTTGACTTTATCGTGATCTGCTACAAATGTCTCGTCTTCTCCAGTAATCAAGCCAGCATGAATACAGAGGTAATGGTGGTGGCAGCTGTGGCCAGTACTATCTCTGATGCTTTGCGTATTACGTATTTCTAATGTGTTCTACACTTTTTATATATATATTTGAAGTGGAAGGCGTACTTGGTTTTCCTAATGTCAATTCATAACTTCCATCAGTTCAATCTTGGGCATCAGCTATTTGTTCTTTATTTTCATCAGCAGAGAAAATTATTTCATTTGTTGGCATTGAAGCATTCTGCTTACTTTCCTTCAAGGCTTCTTCTCAAGGCTTCTTCACTCGTCTTCTTGCTTTTTGACATGTCTGCTATGCTCAGGCATATATCATATAACTGTAAGTGCTTGGCAGTCATTTTTGATGATTTTTATACAATGTTACCACATTTTTACCCCCAAAAATAATAAGACAAGATTAAAACATAAAAAGTCAATATTTTAATATGGTTATTTATCAAGCAAAACTAAATTATATTAATCTAACCCAAATATCTTTTGAATTCCCAAGTCATGTTACAACTTTTTAGCACCCCTCATTTTTGAAATTTGAAATTTGAAATATTCAATAAGGAAAGGAAAGGAATCAAGATGTTCGGAAACTAATTACAAACTAGTTAGTCCAGACTAATTTCAGAACAGTGCCCTCCGCCTGCAAAGCAGAACAATTACAAACAGTATCCTTGCCTGGCAGGATGCACACCTCAATTTCAGAACCTTGAAACCAAAAAGGGTATTTACTGGTGAATGTAAATGTTCCATCAAATCTAATGCACACCTTAATTTTTGTAGCGTGATTTGGCCAAAAAATGTGTGCATTAGTTTCGAGTAAATCAAGAGGTTGAAGTGCCTAGTGAAAACCAGCAGCTAGCAGAATTAGTCCTCTCCAAGGTCCAAGCTGTATTTGTTCAACCTTATTGATCCCACTGTTATAGTAAATGGGGTCTACACAGTTATATTCAGAGTAAAGGTGGAAATGCCATAACAGGCTATTTTCTAGTAGTGTGACATGCGAACATGTTCCCCGGAATGGTTAGATCTTCACAGACGACCGTCTCATATTCAAGTTTTTTTTAAAAAAAAAACATTCCTGCACACTCATGTTTTCGATCAACCCAGGAAGAAGAGAATGAGAAGTTGTTTGCACAAGGAAGCCCCTTCCCTCAGTACATAATCCATAATATATTGAACATCTCATAATCCCTGGTTTAGAATAATAAAACACATGTCTTTTCGAAGCAGCCACAGCAGTCCTTCTGGGAAAAATAAATGAATAAGTAGAACCACACAAGACTAGCACATCAAGTACTTTGTCCTCAAGGAAAATAACCTTTGACCAATTATTTTAGAATCATTTCTAAATTGTGGTAATTTCTTTCTTTCATGGGGTATTTGTTTGAAGTCATTGAATTTGCCCCTTGGCTTATTTTTTCTTCTTCCATTCATTGCTATCCAAAAATGGAAACCTCGATAGAATCAATTATTAAACTTTGTGTTTGTATATGAGTAGTGCCTCAGACCAGCACTTGGCTGCCAACCAGACTAATAGCATCACAGTATCCAAATAATAACGATTTGAGATATTTTTAGTTGTAAAAGAAGCCTTTGAGACATTAGTTTCCCAATAACCAAATGCAAAATAATGCCCCCCCCCCTTTCTCTAAATGGATCCTAAACTCTTCATTTGTGACCGGTGATTTTTCTGACAATCAACTGCAAGGGAACGCGGGTGAGATTGTAGCCCCAGGTGACACAATATTAACTTATATTTAGGCAAAGGGACACACTGTTTCTCCCACTCCCAGCAATGAATGATGTGACATTTAGAAAGCCAGTGTCTGTTTGAGACAAATACCCATAATAGTGTGAAAGTGTTTTGATTTTGGAGCAGAAAAAGCAAACATATATGTGCATCCTGGGGCTTAATGTTGTGAGCATCAATGGCTAGGCCTGTTGTTTAAATATACAGAGAAGAAGAAACATGTTAACCCTACAGCAGTTTAATGTAATATCAAAGTCATGAACCTCCTCTTTCTAAAATGTGCGAAACTGCCTTGAGTCTAAACTGAAAAAGTAGAATGTTTCTGGATCTCACAATTGAAACCCTGCAAAGTGAAGCATCATCAAAGGTTTCTGAGTAGAGCTACTTTAGGAATATGTGAAAACATTCATTCTCTTTTTGTGCAGTATTCCATCTCTCCATGCTTTCAGAAAATCACAGGAAGTCAATGGCGTGCCTTTGAAAGCTACATGTGTTCAAATAACCTGTGCCTGTGGAGTTTTTACACACATGCCTTGAAAAAGCTCTTGCATCAACTCACACACATTATAACAGTGGATAGGCTCATGCATGTCTGCCAGTTACGCTTATGGAATATGTGTTCAAATGACCGTTGAAAGGCTTATCCAACTGATGGCAAGGCATTACTGGTAGGCACCTACACACATGTGCATTTTATTCTGCCTCTATTTTCCTCTGTTCCGCAACATGATTGTACAAGAGTTTGTACCTCTACACCGATCCGCCTGTGGAAAATAAAAACCAGAGTTGAACTATTCAGAAGCTTCACGATAATTGCCCACACCAATGGAACAACAGGATCCACACCAGAAATAAACCATGGCAATTTACTGCAATCCTCCTAAATGTGAAAGCCTGGATAGTTCAGTTGGTTAGAGTGTGGTTCTGATAAAACCAAGGTTGCAGGTCTGATCCCCATATGGGACAGCTGCATATTCCTGCACTGATGTAAATTCCTGTACTGCAGGGGGTTGGACTAGATCAGGCTTCCTCAAACTTGGCCCTCCAGATGTTTTCAGACTACACTTCCCATCATCCCTGACCACTGGTCCTGCTAGCTAGGGATCATGGGAGTTGTAGGCCAAAAACATCTGGTGGGCTGAGTTTGAGGAAGCTTGGACTAGATGATCCTCAGGGTCCCTTCCAACTCTACAATTCTATGCTTCTATGATTCCTACTAGTTACAAAGTGGTGTAGCTTCATCCAGCACCAGCTCGAGTTCTAGCTCCTCTCTAAACCACCCTTCATGGGATTTTGAGGTGAAGAAAGAAAAAGCAACCCAAGTAAATCATCATATATTTACACA